GCAGTTTGTATATCTAACCTTGTTTTTGCCTATGGAGATTGTTTTCAATTTGTCTTAGAATTCAGTCTTATTAAAAAAAAAAATAATAATAATAATAATAGTAAAGCAGCCTGACGTTTCGATCTTAACAAGAGCTGCTGCAGAGGCAAAATGACAGAGATACAAGAAACAAACATGTAGGGATTCACAATCATGGAGGGTTGGAAGGAGAAACACAAAAGAGGGATTAAATAATTATTGGAACGGACCAATGTGGGTGAAGATCAAAGGGAAAAGAGTAGAAGAACGAACAATGGACGGATTAAAGCGGAGGACAAACCAAGGGGGATTAAGTACAGGGGGAGAGGCACACCAGCGCTGGTGAAGATAAGGAATCAGTCTTGTTATATAAACAGCCTTTTGAGCAAGATGTTAATCTTGGATTTTATTTTGCGACAGTAAATCGAAACGTCCCCTCATTTTCAACATGTTGTTCTCTTTTGATCACGTATTTTCTACACACTTTTTAACGGCAGAGAGCAGGGCCATTGAAATATTTCGAATAATCCATTAGCCTGGGTTATATTAACAAGCGACTCCTCTATTTGCCAAGACATTGATCACGGTGCAAAACAATCCCGTAACATGTTTACAACCGATGTTCTGTTTTTTTGTTTAACGAAATGTCAAGAAGTTTAACAATTCCCCTGTCGGAAAAAAAGGGGTCGATAGAGATTTCAGAATTGATGTGCACGTATACATCGGCGAGTTGTCATACAAACGTCTACCAAATTATCGAAATTCTAGAAAGATATCGGAAACTATGTCAATTTAGGGCCTCGAGGGCAAGGCGCTTTAAAGTACGAGATATCTGGGACTAATAATTTTTCTTTAGATCCAAGAATACGGCAAATCATAAAATGAAGAAAAAAATGCGAAATCATCAAAATTTAATTTTGTAAAGAAAATTCCAAACGATTTTCCCCGGTACTTAACACATGTAAAAGAACGGTAGCACTTAAAATGACTCCAACAAGAATATTAGTTTGCATTAGCTTTCGTAGCTACATCTATCAGATGCGACTAAGAGGGGTATGATCATGCGAGGTTTATACAGTCTAAACAAAAGGTGACGATGAGTCAGTATATACATCTTGCATGAGGATGCCCCTCTTATAGTCCGGTACTTAAGTCTGTGTTTTACACCTAATTAAATTACGTTGAATTAACGGGAATAGAAATTCAAGCTTGCTATCGCAATGGTAATGTAAGAGGGAAATAGGAGACAAGAAAATGATAGAAGACTGAAGAGGAATCATTCATAAATAACTGACGCAGCGTTTGAATTTAGTCCCTTGCCGGAAAAACAGCAAAATGTAAAGTCCGTCAGTGGGCACCCAATGTGGGGGGGGGGGGGGGGGGGGGGGGCCCTCGGGGCCTTGAGCCCCCAAGAGGTTTGTCAATTTTGGTTTTTTTTGGTATTTTATTTTTATTCCCACGATTTGACCTTGGTGACATGTATGTGGCCTATTTTCGAGTAGTATAATAGGGGTGTAAGTGGCGCCACCAACGTCAAAAGTCCCCCCCCCCCAAAAAAAAAAAAATTCTGTGGCCAAAAATGTTGGACAAAATGTTATTGAAAAAAAAAATAACTTCTAAAACATTTGAACAAAAAAAAAAATTGTGAGCCCCCCCCCCCAACAAATCCTGGGTGCGCACTGATTAGTCCGTGCTGTTCAACACATTTTTTTTGTTGCTGAATAATTGTTCATCGTGTTTATTAAATTTCATGAACCCCCCCCCCCCCCCCGCCCGTTCAGGGGGATCCGCAAGATTCTGAAGGAAGGCTTTTGTTTCGGGGTTGCGCTTGCGCAAAACAGATCCAGGAGTGGACTGGTTCTTTGTCCCGACATCTTCTTTTCTTACAGGGGCAGGAACACGTCTAACCCTGCGAGAACTAACTTATTGGTTCGCCACAAATAATTCGTAATCGTGAGGCGATTTTTTTTTTGGTCCGACGTCCCATTCAAAATGTATATAACCCTTGTATTTATAGAAAATAGCAATTTTTTCAAACAAATCTCGGTATGCATGAAACTCTAAAAAAAAAATGACATGAATGTTACTTGTTGGAACATATTTTGTGAGCCAAAAAAATTGCTGATTGAAAACATTTTTGAGAAAAGTTTGCTCATTGGTATACTGCCATGCATGTACTGACGCAACAACGACTCACCAAAGAACAGAAATTTACAATACCAAAATATCAAAAAATCTGGAAACTTTTGGTTCTGAAATAGCTGTAACATTGAAGTTTCTACTAAAATGACATCACACTTTTGCTCATGAAAATACCCTTAAAAATTGCCTAATGAAAATTTAAATAAGGCTATATGGGACACAATGGTGCATTTTCAAGGATTGCATAAAGGCATTTATTTATTTTTTTTACATTACATGGGCCATTTAAACGTAGTAATGACACATTTCTCTTCCTCCGAACCGCGCTTTCTATGTTAAGACGACATTGCGACAAAGTCACATGATCCACTCAAACTAACTCCAGTGAGATGGATAGTGTATGATATCCATCTCAGAAGATCCATGACAACGCCCTTGAGTCAAGATGATCATTGGAAAGTCTGATTCGATACTGTCGTCTCGATGAAACCTGGGAGTGCTCTTGACAATGAAGGACAGCAGCGTGTAATTGATGAGACAGTGTTGCTTCCTAATTGCAATCCATGTAAAGGATCGTTTGGTTGGGTTAAGCAGGGAGGAGTGCAGGCAATGTATCACAGGAGACGTCAGAAGGACCCCGATTAACTCGTAAAAACTTTCTATACAGTAAGCCCAGCGCAGTCCATGATTAATTGTATGGTAGGGGAGTTAATTAGCCATGAATTAACAGTTGTGTGTAGCTGTGTTTTCGACTGTGACGAAGAGAGACTCCACACAAAAGTTCTCTGTTGTCCAATGTAATTTATTAACACGAATATCTCTTTACAAAATGAGCCTTCATTAAAACTAGGGGCGGCAATTCCCCGACACACCTGGTTTTTTTTTTAAAAATATTTTGCTAGCTTTGACATCCTTTGTAAAACATTGTTAGTGGTTTTGTTTGGCCATGACTGATGATTAGCCAAAATAAGTTTGCGAATTTTGGTACCGCTATACCAGAATACAGTGATGGATATCTACAGGGAGTGATATTTCGATCACAGTGAAAATGATTCAACCTCCGGACAATCCCAACCTCTCATATTCAAAGTTAACTTTGAATTTGTTTGTGGATATTCAAACTGTGAAGGAGAATACAAACTAACCACATTTTAAATTACTGTATTTGTCACTAAGAAGTAACATTATTACTTCCTCCTTCGTGCGCTTGCTAGTTGTGGGTGTAAGCGACAAGCATTACATTCAATGTGTGGACTTCCGATAAACCATGTAGCAGCGACGTTGTGTGGACTTGCCCACGTCCATACAAGGTTTCCCCTCTCTGGAAAACAGGTTTGAGGCATTTTTGGTTAGGTTTATCCGTGGCAAAATGAAGAGAAACACTAAAGGAAATCATAGAGAAAAATCGGGTTGAAAGAGTTTTCACTGTTTGAGAAAAAAAAAATTCACTGGTTTTTCTTAACTACACGAAAACAAAGGAATGTACACACTAGGTATGTACAACAAACATGCGTATGTGTGTGTTTTACTAAAACTGTAGATATGACAACAATTTTATGGATGATATAAGAATATCACATCCGGAAAAATATTTTAGCCAAAGTGGATTTTTACAAAATATTGTGTGTCTATAGCAAGACGCAAAAGTTACGCTAATTGACTGTAAATGTCAGTTTCATAATTGCAATTAATTAAAAGGAAGCCGTAAATGGAAGGCGTGGAACTCAAGAGCAC